TCTCCAAACCCCAATCGCCTCTGCAGGGCACGGCCAGGAAGGCTCTAATGTGTCTACACTGCCTGAAACCCATCTCAAGCACCCATCACTCACAACACGCTGGAGCTAAATCAGTAAACTCGTCCCTTTTGCCCGATTCTCAGAAGGTCCTAGGAGCCCCTAATGGGAAAGAATCATGTCAGAGAGGAAGATGGTCCAAGACAGCCATGACCAGAGTAAAGCCGGATGAGTGTCCCATCATGGAGTGTTTATAAGTGAGTGAATCAGATTCCACCCAGGATGCTGTCATGAGTTATGGCTGTGTGAGAACACACATCTGAACATGAGTGACTTGACCACACTGCTTTCTAGACAAAGAACCAGGGAGCCTTCCATTGAGATAAGTGATCAGGGTTGACAATACGACTAATTAATACACTTGCAAATGGAAGCTCCCCCTTTAAGGTCCCTGGTTGTTGATCCTGGCAGATACACAGTTCTGGGACTTCTGGAGATGTTTAGAAGTTAAAGAGAGGACACAGGGTACTATATTTACTGACTTCTCTTCTGGCATCTCTGCTCTTTTCTGTTGCCATCTGTAGTTTCAGCAATAGTTGGAACCATAGATAGTGGCTGTACCCCAGACATAGCACTGGCTGCTCCCTCCTCGCTCCCTAATGCCAGCAGTGGGCCTGCATTGTGGTGAGGTGACTATTTCAGAGACAAGGAGTTCAACTCTTGGGGACATAGGTGAGCCCAGACTCTCACAGCCCTCCCAAACGGTGTGTGCAGACTGTCTTGTCACTTTATTTAGCTTGTACCAGACTGGAAAGAACTCTTAACAGTCTGCTATAGAGAGAAAGGACATAGAAGGCAGGACAGAATGGTCGTGTGTGTGTGTGTGTGTGTGTGTGTGTGTGTGTGTGTGTGTGTGTGTGTGTGTGTACACTCTGCAGTGTGTAGTGCTGTCTCTATGTCGAAGTGGTGTGCAGTGTTCTAAGCACATTTTACCTCATTTTATTTTGGCCACCAGGGATCTAACCTGGGATCTTGCCCATGGTAACAATCACTTTACCACCCAATTTTCTTTTAATTTTTATTTTGAGATGAAGTTGCCTAGGCTGGTCTTTCGTCCCATAGCCCAGGCAAGCCTTGAATTTGCTGTCCTCGTGTCTCAGCCTGGCCTGGGTGGGTTATTTGTTACAGAAGAAAAGCAGGACTTTCTCATGCTTGGCCGGTTACTCCTTGGCTAGGGACTTGACTCCTCCTGCCAAAGTCTCAGCCCTTGCTGCTCCCTGCCTGCCAGAGCCCTCGCAACAGAAGGAGATAGACCAGCTGGCCCCATCTCCTTCCTCGCTGACCTTTTAATGTCCCAAAGACCCTTGATGTGGGGCTGGGCCCAGCTGTCAGGCTCAGTGCTAGGAAGCAAGACGAGGGGCTCCCAGTGAGGGTTAGGGTACATGGTGAAAACTGAGGAAATTTATGAAGGCCCTGCAACTGGGCAACCCCTGTGCATAAAATACACAAAGAAATGAAGGCAGCCGGGCGGTGGTGGCACACGCCTTTAATCCCAGCACTCGGGAGGCAGAGGCAGGCGGATCTCTGTGAGTTCGAGGCCAGGCAGGACCGACAGCCTCCAAAACAATACAGAGAAACCCTGTCTCGTAAAAACCAAAAAAAAAAAAAAAAAAAAGAAAGAAAGAAATGAAGACTATGATTGAACTTTGCTAATTTAATATCAGATGATATTACAGTGATAACACCAAATAGTTAACAGTTGCATAGACTTAGTATATAAGAGACACCACTTTAACTTAATACTCAGAACACCCTTCAAGAAGCTTTTTTTCTGTTGTTCCCCTTCTTTCCTTTAAACCCAGAGCCTTGCTGCACACTAGGCAAGCTCTCTGTCACTGAGCTATATGTCCTTGGCCTAGTATGCGTTTATTTACAGTCAATTATTTGTTAACCCCATCTTTATAGTTTAAGAGCTTGCAGTGCAGAAAAATAACTTAACCTCTTACCTCATAGCTTAGGTAAGAGCTGTAGGCATGGTGCCTGTAAGCCCCGCCCCATGCCATTAGCCCCGCCTCCACTCCTGTAGCCACAGCCCCAAGCCACCAGGTGCAGGGACAAGTCCCTCTGGGTCCTGTCCCCAGGCAATGCAACTGAATCAACTCTCTCTGGTCCTGAGGTGCCAGTCTGGTGAGGCTTTGTGGCTAAGCCCATAAAAACCTCAGCTGGGTTATGTTTAGATCACAGTTTCCATGGCTGTTTTGAATAACCCGACTTGCTGGCCAGCAGGTATTTGTAACAAGAACTTTTTTTTTTTAAGAGTTGCTAGGGATTGAATCCAGGGCCTGGCACAGGCTAGGCAAGCACTACTCCGCCATTGAGCTGTGTCCCCAATTATTTCTTAATGAGATTAAGGGAAGATGGCCCCGGGGAGCTCTGGACATCTTTTCCTGCTTCCGTGGGACTCATTTCTCTCCCTGGGAACTTGTAACAAGCTTTCTTGTGGAGCTATCTTTGGACTGCCAGCCCCCAAATAATGACAGAGAGACTTATTATTAATTAGGAAAGCTTGGCCTTTAGCTTAGGCTTGTTTCCAGCTAACTCTTATAACTTATGTTAACCTGCTTTTGTTAATCTATGTTTGCCACCTGGCTTTTTATCTCTCTTTCATTCTGTATGTCTGACTTGCTCTTCGTCTCACTGGAGTCTCTCCACCTCTCTTCTTCCCAGGCTTCCTCTCTCTCCCCAGGAATCCCGCCTATCCTCTCCTGCTTAGTTATTGGGCATTCAGTTCTTTATTAAACCAATCAGAAGCCACACCGTGTAAACAAATATTCTGCAGCATTTCTCCTTTTTTGTCTAAATAAAAAGAGGGTTAACACTAACTCAGTAAAACTATATAGAATAAGAGGATGGCCAGGTGTTGGTGGCACACGCCTTTAATCCCAGCACTCAGGAGGCAGAGGCATGTGGATCTCTGTGAGTTCGAGACCAGCCTGGTCTACAAGAACTACTTCCAGGACAGCTCCAAAGCAATACAGAGAAACCCTGCCTCGAAAAAACCAAACCAAAACAAAACAAAACAAAAACCAAGAACAATTATCAGGGAGGAATTACATTCACAATGTCCAGTCCATTTGTATTTGGCATAATCAGAGAAAATACTCTATTATCTATCCTGTTTTGATGACTCCAATGATATATACCTAAACCACTTGTTATCATAACTTGTATTACCAGCCTAAAAATAATCTTCTAGGCCTTAAAGACAGTTTCTTAAATAAATAACTTTTTGTATTTCTCAACTTTATAAACTTTACATCTCTTATGTAGGTTTCTTTTCTGAATTTGGAAAAAAGGAAAACTGTAAAACTATAACTATCTGTTCTTCAACCCCATCAGATACCCAAGAAGGATATGATATTATCTGAATAAACAGGAAGTGCAGAGCAAGCAACTTCCAAAACTATAGAAATGACAGAAATAGCTGGCTGCCTGGACAGTCACCCAAGTTTCCTTTGTAACGCTGGGGCATCCATCTTCAGCCTGCAGACATAGAATATATGACAGATTTTTCTGTGGAGCAGAATTTTGAAGGATTGTCTTAACTTGTGTTGGAAAAGTTCAGCAGTCACCTTCTTTTGTGTCCTGCTTATCCAATTTGAACAGCATACTGTCAGCAGTTGAGGCAGTTTCTTGCCTAGTGACTAACTCTACCACAATGAAAGCAAATGCCACATGGACATTTTAGATGGCCATGATCCTTTTTGTTTGTTTGTTTTTTGAGACAGGGTTTCCTGTAGACCAGGCTGGTCTTGAACTCACAGAGATTCGCCTGCCTCAGCTTCCCGAGTGCTGCCATTAAAGGTGTTCACCACTAACGCCCGGCTGCCATGATCCTTTTTTGAAGTAAATTGGTGCTGCCAGGAGCAGACATGTCTCACTGTCATAAAAAGCCTTATGTTACTAAAACCTACTGAATGTCATATTCTGTAGGTCTCTGAAGTGTTTGAAGACCATCTGTCTATCTAAATTATATCTCTGTTTGACCTTGAAAACATACTTAACATAGTCATAATTTTGATTGTTTGATAACTAACTACTAACCTATATTTCTTAATTATCCTAAATAGTTGGTAATAATAAGTTTCAAGGACTTGACATTTACATTACATTGTTAAATAAGCTGCATAGGTACATTACCTTAAACAAGAATAGAATCATGTATGTATGTATACATATATAAAATAAAAGTAACCTTAAATTTGTATCAATATACAAAAATCTACACCAATGTAAAATATTTAAGACTAGTAGTTGCTTTTTTAGTTTAAAAGTAGATTCAATAATCTACCCTTTATCCTATCATTCTTATATCCCCCATTTTTCTTTTCATAATGAGATCCCTGAATCTAACCCCCTTTGCTTAATTTCCTCCTTGACCATGACCAATAACAAGTTTCAATTAACCCCCCCAAGTAATGACAAACATCCACCAAATGACCAGAAGCCATCCACCCAGCCCTTGGAAATGTGGGTGTCATGTTCTCTAGACTGCTTCCTGTTGTTTGGGGGTGACAGCATCTTTAGGGGACCCTGAGAAAATTGAGATAATGGTCAAGTCCCGGGAGAGCTAGCTGTATTATTTATTGTCCAGTCTCTGTGTGTTGGGAAAGTGTGGGGCTTATTTGAAATTCTGGCTGGAGTAATCTGTGAGGTTGGACCCTCTCAGCTAGCAGCTTTGAAGTTGTTCTAGATGCAGATTTTTGAGGAAATACAACAGAGGCATTTTGAGAGGCTGGGTCACCTGGGCTACTTGTTTTCATTGATATCTGGTCTTTTTGTTCTGAAAACACACAAACTTTTTTTTTTTTAGAGAGTGAAGCATGTCAATTTATTGGCATAGTCAAATTATCAGCACCACAGGTGGTCTTAAGCCCAGGAGGCGAGGTTGATTTCCATCTGCCATAACGTAATAGGTACTCACATCGTCACCGTGAAGCAGCTCATGCTTCAGTCAGGGTCGACTCCTTCTTCACCTTCACGATCTTCACGCTGCTGCCTGAAGTCTTCTCGGCGTTCGCCTTGAACTCGGTCTTCAGGGCATCCCGCACTGCTTTCCCACAGATCTGGGAGAACCGGATGTAGCTGAGTCGGGCCTGCCGCCAGTATGCCACCATGGTGTCGCGAGAGGGGAGGGTCGGGCAGAACCGCTGGGTCGCTTCGGAGTCGCCTCCAACTTTTTTTTTTTTTTGAGACAGGGTTTCTCTGTATTGTTTTAGAGGCTGTCCTGTAACTTGCTCTGTAGACCAGGCTGGCCTCGAACTCATAGAGATCCGCCTGCCTCTGCCTCCCGAGAGCTGAGATTAAAGTCATGCACCACCAACCCCCAGCACACACAAACTTTTAAAGGTAACATACATACCTGCATTAGCACGGTGTGAAATATGTGGTATATGCAAATCAGCTGAAGATGATTCTCTGTTCTCTTTGAGCAGGTAAAAGGCATCTGACAACTTTAAAAGTCTGTATGGACTGCATAAACCAAACTGTAATAAGGACTCTGTAGCCAACAAGATTTATGATGTGTCATCCAGTCTCAGAACTGCTCTCATATAGAGGGATCAGCTTATATGTTACATGCTTATAGTTTTTCTTGGTTTCTTCCTTCATGTCTGTAGCCAAGACATGATCTCTACAAATCAAATCTGATCTTTATCTTGAAGGAATCCATAGTTTTTTGTTTCTTGTGGAAACAAAAGCATAACCTTTCCTCCAATGAAACACATTTTCTGACTTCCATTCTAAAGTTAAAACATCCTTAAACATATAGACAGGTTTAATTTAGCAGTTTTTTTTCTATAATCCAATGTCTCTCAGCAGTATTTACCCTTCTTTTGTTCATGAACATCTAAAAAATTCAAAGTTAACAAAACACTATACAGAATCCAGATGCGCTGTGTATTTCCCATCTTCATGTGACTTATTCTTTATATATTACTTTATTCTTTCTTTAAGGACTTTACTTTCTTTTTAAACTATTTATTTTCTATGACAGTCTATACCCATTTTCTTTTCGTTCTTCAGCATCTAAGCTTTAAAACATTCTGTACCTGTTTAGAGGTTTTTTTTGGGGGGGTCTGGATCTGGCTTTACTAAGTGCCTGCAACATTCTCTGATTGTGTGAACCAAAACTTAAATCACTAGGCCCTCCACCACGTGGCTAGCTTAGCACATGGCACTGGTAGCTGGCCCTGCCCTCTTTGGGTCTCTGAGAACCTAGCTTCATGCCAGCATTTACCTGCAACAGTTCTGGGAATTCATTGTATCTGCCTGTGACAAGAATCCATAACCAATACTAGCTGCTCAAGTGCTCAGCTGCACAGAAGAGCCTCTTAAAAGAGCCTTGCCTCTGTATGCTGCAAGAACAGGGCCTAGCAGGGGACTGTGGTTGCCAAGAAGCCGAGTCTGACTCTATGTGTGGGACTTTTTTTTCTTTCAGCGTTCTCAGGCCTTATGTGGATATATTTGGCCAGACATACCACATCATATGTAGTCGGACTTTCTTGTCAGACTGTCTTTGGATGGATAACACACAAATAATGACACAGAGACTTATTATTAATTATGAAAGCTTGGCCTTTAGCTTAGGCTTATCCCAAACTAGCTCTTACATCTTAAATTAACCTGCTATTATCAGTCTATATTCTACATGTGACTTTTTAACCTCTCTTCCATTCTGTATGTCTGCCATGCTCTGCATCTCATTGGTGTCTCCCACCTTTCTTCTTCCCAGGGTTCCTCTCTCTCCCCAGAAGTTCCATCTATTCTCTCCTGCCTAGCTATTGACCATTCAGCTCTTCATTAAGCTAATCAGAGGGACCCTTTGGCAGAAAGACACCTCTTCACACAGTGTATACAAACACTTTGCAAAAGGAACCAATGCTTCTGCATCCTGAGTGTTCCTTTTTATTAATTGTTTTGAACTTTTTTATTTTATGTGCATGGGTGTGTTGCTGGCATGTATGTCTGTGCATGACATGTGTGCCCAGTGCCCAAGGAGGCCAGAAGAGGGCATCAGATCATTTGGAACTAGAGTTATGGAAAGGTGCTGTGTGGATGCTGGGAACTGAACCCAGTCCTCAGGAGGAGCCACCACTGAGCCACATCTCCATCCATATCACAAATGTTATAGAAAATAATTACATTATTAAATGTTAAGGGAAGCTTTTCCTTGCTAGCCGCTCACCCGCCAGTCGCCTGGGCTCTGCCGAGTTGTAGTCCCCAAATAACACACAAGACGCTGTATTAATTATGAAGCTGTTGGCCTTGCTTGTTTCTTACTGGCTAGCTCTGACTTAAGTAATTACCCCATAATTGTTAATCTAAGTATTTCTCTTACCGGAGAATAGTTCCGGGCTTCCTACCCCATGGCGGTTACATCTCGAACTCTTGTGTTTCTCCTTCCCAGAATCCTCCTGGACTCCTAGTCCCACCCATCTAGATTCCTATTGGCTCAACAGTACTTTATTGACAAATGTACAGGACTTCCCCCATCAATTAAAAATATTTTTAATGGGGAAAAAGCTATGTGCATGCCCCTACTCTCCGGATGTGGTTTTTTTTTTTTTTAACTTCAGTCCAATGAGAATACCCCAGTGTGTTCAGAGAGAAGTGGAAGTGGGCGCCCGGCTGTCTCACAATTCCCTATGGGAGAGTAACTTAGGAGACTATGTCAAAAGGCTTAGGGGTCCGGGGTGAAGCTGGTGGTTGACCTCTGCCTAGCACCTATGAGGTCCCATCCTCAGCACCACAAAAGGGGAGGAAAGAAGAAGGAATTCTTTTCTCAGGTATCAGCTGTCTAGAGCAGAAAAAAACAAACAAAAAAAACCCAATGTGTTTAGCTGCTGAGGAGTTCATACTGAACCCAGAGAAGACAATGGGCTGTTTACAGGTGCCCTCTGGGTCACGTGATGGAAGGGGCCCCAAGCATTTGACGCCAAGAATTTTTCTTGTCTACCAAAAGGATGCCTTTGAAAAGCTGGGACCTGGTTACCTTCAGATTCTTTCAGGACAGCAGGAATTCCCTGGAGGCTCACACAAGCCTGTTTCTGTTGGATATTCAAGAGATGCTGGCACTCATGTTTGTCCCAAGCCAAGTATGTGCAGACAATCACCTTTATGTTGGCCTGTGTTTTGGATCCCTCTACTCCTTCCTCCAGGAGATGGGAGACAGGAGGAGCCTGATGGAGGCTATTGGGAATCCTCGTGGTTTGTGTCACAGCCTTGTTGACAGTTTGGTGCCACTACTAATCTATTCAGAGCAGAACTAAGTGTGTGTGGGGGGGGAGGGAGGTTTCAGAGACAGGTTTAGAAGAACATGAAAAATGCATCCTCAAAAAAAAAATCCCTAAAGGCCTGGATTGCAGAGGCCAGATTCGAGCATAATTGTTGCATGGAGTCTGGAAATCTCCCTTCTTGCCTTTAGCAATCAAGGACTAGAATGGGAGGGGATTCGGGCCTTTCTGCTGCGCTTGGATCCTAGCCTCCGTCTCAGTGCACCTTTACTGCCTATGACTGGCTAAGTGTTGGTGAAAGTTTCTGTCCCCTAAGCCACTCCCAAATAACCACTCAGAGACTTGTCATTAATTGTAAATGCTTCGCCGATAGCTCAGGCTTATTACTAACTTAAATTAACCCATATTTCTTATCTAAGTTCTGCCACACGCAACTCATGGCTTGTTAGCTCCTTTCATACGAATCTTGTTTCCTCTGTGTCTGGCAGGCGACTCCCCAAACTTGGGCCTTCTTCATTCCAGAATCCTTAGTTTGGTTGTCCTGCCTATACTTCCTGCTTGGCTACCAGCCAATCAGCTTTTTGTTAAACCAATCTGAGTGACAAATCTTCACAGTGTACAAAAGGATTATTCCATAGCAGCTAAAAACAGACAGGTGGTGCAGAATGCCAAGATTTGGGGGCTCAGACTATAGCTTCAGTGTAGGATACTTGTCTAACCTGCTTGAAACCCCAGGTTGATCCCCAGAGCCAACCAATACAGAAAGCAAAAAGCCCTCTTGACTGATGCGTCCCTTTATGAGTCATGTATCCAGCATGTGTTCTCCCTCCTCACCCCACCCCAGTGGTAGTGGAAATTAAATTTACCCATGGTAGACAGGTACCCTACCACTAAGCTATGTTCTCAGCCTTCTTTGTCTATTTTTGACACAGGATCTCTATAAATTTCTCCAAACTATAGCATCAGGCCCAGTTCCAGCATGTGTTTTCTAAGGCACCTCACTTTCTGGCCAAAAAGAGCTTCAGAGTTAAAGAGCAGTACATACATACATACATACATATAACCCGTGTGCCTCTTGATCCAGATAACATCCCATTTGTTAATGCTCTAAGTCTGAGATCTCCTAAAGGGGTCTCTCTTTGTCTCTTCCATTTCTTCCCCTAGTTGACTACTTCTTCCAAGGAACACTGGGTTGTTAACAGTGCCGGGCACAGGTGGTAGCCTGTCACAGAGCTATTGAGACAGGCGCTATGCCTCTGCAGGAAGTAAGGGTCTGTAGGGTCTTTGGTAGAGCACATGTTGATTGAGTTCAGAGTACCTCCATCAATAATCTATGAAATGAGTAAAACAAGTTAGGATAGAGAGCAGATGAAGGTGAATATGGCACATGACTGTTCACCTGGTGGGAGGAATAATTTATGATCACTCAATGGTTGGGCTGGGGATGGCTGTGGGGAATCACTCACTGGTTCAGCCTGTGGTGCTGTCAGAGAAGTCCAGTCCCAATAAAGTTCACCTCATTCTCCATCTGAGTCCTGCTGTAAGACTTTAAAAACACTATGGAGCAGGGCAGCACACCACATTCTTCATGGGAACCCTTCCCACTCTCAGAGTTTTTCCTCACTTTTCTTTGATAAATCTGTATTCTCTCTGCTGCCTCTTGGTTTCCTTTATTCTTCTGGGATGAGACAGTGAACTTGGAAGTTACCGGCTCCATTTGGCTTTGGTGACTGTTGATTGTCTATATTCTCTCTGCTGACTCTTGGTTTCTTTTATTCTTTTGGGGTGCAAGACAACGAACCTGGAAGCTACAGGTTCCATTTGGCTTTGATGACTGTTAATTGTCAGGCATCCTGGTCCTCTGAATAAAACTCACCAAGAACACTCAAGGCACATAGTGATGAGGGGATAGATATGGAGTCATTGTACCTGG